GGGTGGCAAAGTCCGATGGTGACGAAGTTCGCAAAGGTAAATAGCAAGAGTCGGATATTCAAGAGGCAGACTCACAGGAAATTATCCAGCGGACGGCTGCTCTGATTGGTAATCTCCAGCAATGATTCCTCCAGAAATTCAAACGAATGTCACTGCGGGAGCCTACCAAGTTATATGGCAGTTATTTGGCCCGCTGCGCCGTTGGCTTCATGACGGCGAGGTGACGTTAAACACGGAGCTTTTATTTTAAGTGAAATATACCTTTGGTTTAGCAACGCTCACCACAGTATGATATATTAATGTAGGCACTTCGTATCTGGGGCAAGTAAGTTAATATCTAGATTTGTAACAAGTAACAGGAGAGCGTATTTATTTTTGGTTTTTCTAACGTAGGAAAAGGCGCATGCGCCTTTCTTGTCATTTATGTTTGACCCCAGAGCTAGCACTTCTGCTCTCCTTAGGGTTGTTCCGTAGACCAACTGGTAGTTTTGGGGCTTCCATGAATTATTTTGTTTAGTGAAATAAGGTTCGTGGCCATTACTCTTGAAATCCTTGGTTAAAACCTGTATTTATCATAAAGATCTTAAGCTATATTCAGATAATAATTTTGTTAAGTTGAATATCGTATTATTTACACCAGTCTCGCCACCTACCTTCTCTTGGTTATTTCATAAAAAAGGTCCCAATAGAAACGTTTGTCCCCGTAATCTAAGGATACGATGTTCTTGGATATTCTTTATTTTTTTTGGGGTTCGGTACTTATGATACTAACAATGCCCCTATATTGGCAAGCCCTTTTTGATATTGAAATCTTTATGACGTCACGCTTAGATGCTTTAGATTCCTCTATCTGATACTATTTAAGCTTTCTCTGTAACTCTTGTTTACGGCTGACTTTTCGTGAGTTATTTGGGAAGAATGAATTAAGATTCGCTCTCGCAGCAAACAACTAAAGTCTATTAAGAGTTTGCTTCATTACCAATAATTATATCTTAGCTTAGTGGTGTAAACAATCATTTAAACGTTTTTTGGGCGAGGTGTAAAGGTGTTTGTGAACCTAGGATGTGAAGGGATGTAGAAGAGTAAAGACGTGTCATGTGTTCTGTGTTTATTTGTACTAGTATAATAATAAATGTCGTTCGTCTGTCAGTCTGTGAGAACGCCATACTGCCTAAATATACGTACATTTTACAAAATTGATATCCTTGTCATATCTGGATCCTTGAAAGACGGACCCAAAAACTTTCTAAAATTTGGGGATACTTTACAATAAGCCAACGGACATTTTCAAAAATTTTCTCAAGACGCTCCAAATTTGTTCTTTAAATTTCTTTAAGAATAGAAGTAACATAACTTAAGACACAAACTTCAGTTTACAATTGAATTGTCGACTTTCATATTTTAAAATTTTTTGGGACATCTTCCTACAACCACCACATTGGAAGATAATTGATTTTTTCCTTCACAACTCACACACTTGTTTTCCTTAGTGACTTCTTTCTTTAAGGTACGTACAATTTTCTTGAACATAACATTTCGCCACATAATTGGACAATATTGAATATCTTAAAAAATAAATAAGAAGATTTTCTCAAACGGCTTCAAACTTGTTATTAAACTTTTACTAGGGAATAGTGCTAAATGTACACATAAGATCACAGAAACGCCAAGGTTCCATTCATTTGTTTTTTCAAAATTACAAAATTAATTTTGTACAGTATACTATTCACGTCGGTTAATAATTTATATTATTGCATTTTGGTTTAATTATGATTAATAAGTATGTTGCTTTAAATAATGTCAGAAATTGTTACTCGAAATCAAAAACAGTTTTCTTTTGAAACCGTGAAAAATTCCGCCCATTTGTAGTAAAGCTGACCCTGTGCAAACATACGGGCTCAAATGTTTTCTTCAAAATTTTCGAAGGGATGTTGCTATTGAATTCTTTTAATATATAATTCATTTCGGGGATTTCTTTGTTTTTTTCAAAACATTAACTATATTAATTTTTTGAAAATTTTTCTCAGCGGCTTTATTGTGCATATTTCTTCCTAGGAATTTTGGAACTTCATGAATTTGTGACTGAATGTGCTGAATGACGTCATAAATGGAAAAAATTAATTCTCGAAAAATATGACAATGGGGAAATCTTTTGTCATGGCCACCCAGGAGGTGACGCAATCAATAGGTGAGCCTTCTAACAAATACAAAGCAGCTGACAATCTATTTCAAAGAACATTTTACAAATAATACGTATTTGGTGGGTTGGGAAGGAATTACACAATTTTGTTTGTAAGAATCTCCGAGGTTGGAAGTTTGAAATTATTGATCTTCTCTTCTTAAATGCCGTCAAAGAGCAGCTAAACTGAGTTGTTCGAAGCGTGGCGCCAAAGTTGAATTAATTTGGCAGCTCATGTACCACAGTCCTTGTGCTTTGCACCGGTAGCACCAGCCTACCTTCTCATCTGAATACTAGCGTAATAAGTGTCGGCCTGCCCGCAAAAATTGTAGCCATGCCATGTAATGGTATGTATTAAAGTGTATTGCAAATACAATATTGTTTGTACCTAAATTAATAAAAATATCCTTTAATGAATTTACATTCACCAGTCTGTGATTACTACATAGACAATCGCAAAACCTTACACTATCAATTCTCAAAATGGAAAAACCATTGGCCTAAAAACAGGCCCCTTTTCCTCAGGCTCGTCACATTGCGGGTTTGCTGGACTGAACGTTACGTTACGTTAATTGTGTCGGAGTTAAACACATTTTAAACGGAAGGTGCACAATTAAAACAATCAATTCATATTTTTGTCATGCAGCGTCAAAACAGTACCGACGTTCAGAGACAAAGACCATATTGATGTTGAAAACCGGAGTGGGTGGCGGAGTGTGAAGGAAAAAGTATTTTCTTATAAAGTATTTTATTTCCTGTTTGTCTAATTCATTTTGAGCCTTAAGAAAACAATGAAATAATTTTTGTTGTTTATTTCTATTACTCAGGAACTTGTACGCATTTATTTTTGTCGAATACCCCACTCCCGATGTAAACTGAACTATCTGCGATAATTCATTTCATAATATCAGACGCTCAACGTTAATAAACTATTTTTCGATTACACCGTAAAGAAAATATTACACATTCCAATTTATTAATAAAAAGTGAAAGTGGGGCGACGTCTATAGTGGAAATTAAATACAAATACCAATTGCAAATAGAACGTAGATATTCAATTGTAATGAAACAATCTGTCTTTTCAATTGTATTTACAAGAAAAGGCGAATGGCATTTAAACGATGCAAAATGATATAATTTTAAAGAACTAAAAAAAGATATAATTGTGTTACACCAACGTCTGTATGAATAGAGGTTTTGCTGTAGTATTCACGTTAGAAAGACTTGTACCAATTTAGCTATTAAGGGATATACAAATTAATAAAATTAAAATTATTATACAAGATTTCATAAAGTATATTCAACAGTGTAATCAATATCAATAATCAAAGAGGCAAAATTAAACCGAAATGTGATTCGAGATTGCTGATTTCATAACAATAAAAGCGACAATTAAGTTTTAGAATTTTTTTAGAAATGAGTTGTTGATTCATTATCTATTTGAATGATTTAAAGCGACAATTAGTCACTAAAAACATAACTTTTCAGCAGATGAATACTGTTGTATCCAGTTGAAATAAATAAACTCAGTTTAGCTACCTACCTAATAGTATAAAAAACAAAAAAAACATTGCTTACAAGTTGTATTTTGCCATTTACTGGACTTATTTGGCTTTAATTAAAGCAGTTTGACAGAAGAGGGCAATAATTGCTATATTATAAAACAATTATTTCCAATAATACGTGCTCACTTTTTTTTTTTTTTCAACAAGTAAATTTCCTCTGGTAGAAATCGCGGCGTTGCCCTGGACGGAGCCTGACGTCATGCGCGTGCGGGACGCTGTCGGGGTAGACCGTTCTGACGTCACGCGAGTGTCGGTATAAGAGGCGCCGCAGCGCTAGTCTTCGCCACTGCACTCCTCACCGCGGCGCCCGACGCCTTTCAGAAGAGACTTTGGAGGACTTTTCTGGCTTCGAGAGCGACAACCACATCGCTTCCTGCTCAGTCAACTGCGACAGAAACCATTCAACCTGCGTCGTTCTACGTTCTGCAAAGGTTTGTGCATTTAGAGGCAATGGCTTAGCATTTGTTTTTTTACACGCACTGTACTATGACAATACCTCAAATGTATATTTAATATTTTTTTAAAAGCGGCACTGGGCAAGGAGGTAACTCCTTGGAACAAAAAAAAATATATTCACGGAAGGAAATAAAACATTTTAAAAAATATTTACTTAATTAAAAAAAGTAAAAAATTAATTTACTGGGAAAACATTCAATTCTCAACATTATTGCAATGTCATTTAAAAAAAGTATTGATGATTCATTTATAAAAATGACATTATATCATTTTAAAAAATGAAAGTATTAATGAGATATTTTAAAAGATTCTATTCGGTTGCAGTAAATAAGCTACTTGCATTTTAGAAAAATATGTATATAAAAGGGGGAAGAAGTGGACGTCTTTGCCAACAATATTGTTAGCAATGACGTTTAATAAATATTTAATTGTAAATGACAGCGTAAACTCACCCCGATCTCAATATTGGGAATGTAGGATTAATTACTGAAATTATTGGGTTCCGTAATGACAACACTTCCGTTGTGAGATTTTAATGGGCGGGTGTTAAAGTACTTTTATGTTTCCCCACAGGGAAAGGCAGAACGCTGTGTTGTCAGTAATGTGCGTGCGGCCTTCAAAGAGTAATTATCGCCCGAAAATAAGCGATCTCTGATTGTTCCTATTTGCCACTCGACTGGCAGGCAGCCTTTAGATTGGCAAACAGCTCCCGACAGGAGGTCAAAGGGTTAAGGGTCAAGGGTCATGGGCCAAGTCCCGTCTGTAGGTGCCGGGATTTTCACCTTCTTTCTTCATTTCACCAACCCAGCCTCACCCTGGCTCTGCATCTCCCTCACTCCTTTCCTCTTTCTCAACTTCTTTGCACCCAATCCTTCAGCCCCTTCTCCTATTATCCCTAACTTCTCCCTTCTTTTCTTCTCTTCCAGCTCTTCCTCCACCGCTCTTCCTCCTACCCCCTCCTTATCGCCTATCTTCCTCCTGCACTAAATTTCCCCTCCACTCTTTCTCGTTCACTTTTCCCCCCTTACCTCTTTCCCTTCACCTATTTCCCCTTCTCTCTTTCCCCTTCTCTCTTTCCTCTTCCCTCCTTCGCTTCCACTCTATCTCCTCTCCTCTTACTCCTCTCCTCATACTCCTCCCCGTCTTCCCCTTTTTTCACTGCCTTCCTCCTCCACCCCTTCCTACTCCTTTCTCTCCTTCTTACTCCCTCCTACTCATCCTCTATAGTCCTCCTCTCCGTCTCTTATCATTCACACTCCTGCTCCTCACCCACTCCTCCCCTCCTTTCCCATCTACACTTTCTTCTTTTCCTCGTTCGTCCTTCCTCCTCCATCCACTTGAGTCTCCTCACCTTTCCATCGCAGACGCACAGACAGACGTTTTGCAGTCAATCAATTTTCCGAAATGAATAATGATTAGGACATGTTTTGAGGGTGATAACATGTGAAACCATGATATGCTCCAGATCACAGATGTCTGTAATAAAGGTACGCTTATTCAGAAACGCGTTGAAGAATCAATTCAAGTTTTTAATGAAATCAGCATTACACAAAATGAACCATTCTACATCAAGAGTCCAAAATTGTTTGAGAGTATTTCTTCCAAACTTAACAAATTAACGTAACAATACAAAACTCGGTGAATATCGAAAGCTATTTAGTTGCAACAAGGTTGTGAAACATTGCTAATTTAGGGGTTCCCATGGGTTCAAAGCATGGAGAGAAGCGATCTCAACCAGGCTGAAAACAGAATCTCAATTTTGATGAAAATCATTCTCACGGTTTAACTGATAGCGTTTTTTGCAGAAAGACAGACAGACAGACAGACAGACAGGAAGCCCGGTGGTATTGGCTGGACGAACGGACAGGCGGATAGACAGACAGGCAGAAGTTTGGTCGTTAGTGGATATTTCAGTATCAACAACCAGCAAAACATGCAGTCTGACTACACAGTGTGTTCGAGAAAGTCACTTTGGAACATAATTAAGAGTTGGTAGTGGGAGGTTGAGGATAGGAAACGAACACGAAGGAAGGATCGCGCGCTGTCTGTGGGCCGTGTGTTGAACTATTGCTCCGGTTTGTGCCTCGTATTGATCTGAGAAATCACGGTAAACCATCGTTTAGTAGCCCCTAGGCCACGTGAATTTTCATATAGACTGGGGCTGAACACGACAGCTATGTAGCTAATGACGAAAAACGTTCTATCAAAAACTCGAATCCTTGGGAATGCTTTTCAGTGGCAGTGCAGTGATTCATTTGGTCTGAACCACATGATTTGCTAGAAGTTACGGACGTATTTTTATTTCTCGCAGATAACCTGAACAATATCATATAAACATTTTAGTACGGAATGATGTCATACGGAAAAAAGTATAAGACTCATTTATTCTCAACATGTACAACGAACTATGTAGAAGATATAATGCAAAGAAATGTGACAAACTATTACTCAGAAAGGGCGTGCAATTGATTCCATTGCTTGTTCCTTCATTTCAGCAGAAAAAAGGGTGCCTCCATTATGCAATTGGCTCGGTGTGTGGTGCTGGCGGCGTGGCTGGCGGCGGTGGTTGCAAGCGAGGCCACGGAACCTGCAGGGTCCGTTGCCATGGAGGATCGGACGGCACGGGAGGAGAGCCTGAATGCACGCGACGCCCTGCAGGCCTACCTGCAGGCACTGCACGACACGCCCTCCAACCGCCGCTGCTTCTCCAGTCCGCCCCCGCTCCCGCTGCAGGGCGTCCCCGCCCACGACCCCTGCGTCATCCCGGAAGAGCGCCCCGGCCCCTGTCAACACGTCCTGCACGAGCCGCGGGCGCCGACGACGTGGAGCTCTGGTGGCGGCTGCTGCGCAACTCCGAGGAGCGCGAAACCGGCCCCGCGCGGCGACACGCGCCTGCACGCGGGCGGCGCGCGAAGGCGCGCCAGGGCGACCAACGAGCTGCTGCGGCGGGGCGCGGACCCAAGCGCGCGGCGCGCTGCTCCGCCACGCCGCTGCACGCGGCGCCGCCACGGCAAGCTGCAGAGCGCGCGGCGGCTGGTGGAGGCGGGCGCCAGCTCGGCGCCCGACGCCCACGGCGCCACCGCGCTCGCGCTCGCCGCCCAGAACAACACTCCGAACTCGTCGAGTGGCTGCAGAGGCAGGAGCAGTCACTGCAGCGAGCGGATTCGCCGGTCACTGGGAGGAGCAGGAGCTTCGGTGGAGTGGGCGAACGCGCGGGCGACACAGCTCTTCTGGCGGCGGCGCGGGCGGCGATTGGGCGCGCGCAAAGGACTGGCCCGTGGCGGGGCGTGCCCGTGGTTCGCGGCAACGACGGCTTCTCAGCGCTTCTGCTGGCCGCGGGGCGGGGCAGGAGGGGGCGCGCGGCGCTGGAAGCATGCGCTGCGCGGCGGCTGGTGGACGCAAGAGTCGTGGCGCCGCGCTGGTGGCGGCGGCCGGCGGCCCCCAAGTGTGGGCGATCGCGCAGGCGGCTCCCGAAGAGGTGAGGGCTGCAGAGCTTTCGCTGACAACACGGTCGTTGCGCGCTAATTCTCGCGATCGTAAACGCACGTGGTGAAAGTGCCAATAGAGTTGATTTTATATTTAGATTACGTTGCACTACATGATAATACTTGCCATTTCACCATTTTCTAATTATCACCATTTGTCATGTAAGTCCAATTTATTTGTAAAAAAAATTCTCAGTATACAATTGCATCGCGTCGAAAGGAGTCATATGTTATTGGAGCTTCTAAAAAAATATAACATGCGGCAATAAACTTAACCACAAAATATTGTAATAAAATAATTATTTAGCGCAAATGTGAATATTCGCTTAAATACGAATAGCGTCAACACGATTCTTCGATTCATATAAATATTTTTTAAATTTCTCTACGCAAATAAACTCTCTGCTAATTATGAATGGAACGATATCACATTAATATGTCCCGAAGTGGCTGAACGGCAGCATTGTCTTTTATGTAATTTGACCCTCTTCAAATGGCCTTTGCAAATATTATTCTTCAAAGCAGCAAATACGTGACTGCCAGATCCGACAAGTGGTGGCGAACAAAGCTTTTTCGGGATACAAGTAGTGTCGTAGCGATCTCGGACTAAATGATCACGGGTAAGATCGTAGGCATGGTTGCATTTGTGTATGTTCTTTTACCCCCTCACCATCACCATATCACATCATACTGTTAACCCTATCGTTAATCTAAATTGTTCGCTTTTGATCTAGCTGTTAATGCTATCTTAAATAATAAAATAAGAAGAAAGGATATAGCACTCCCTGATCTAATGCTGGTGGAAGTTGACTAATTCAGACAGCTATCAATCAAAAAACATATTTCAAATAATAAATATAGATTATTCATTATTTAAATAACAAACTTATCTTTACAAAAATGTCTATCACAACGCTCCCTATGACATCATTCGTCCTTCTGACCAGGTGGTCACCCCTGAGGGAAGCCGCGACTACGTTGGTAAATCGTGGTTTCAGGTAGAAGAACGTAGGCGTTCATCCTGACCCTGAGCTTAACGGCGGAACTCGTGTGCATATTCTGAGAAGAATTTATGTGAAAATTGGCACGAATGTTTTTCTAAATACGCCTCCAAAGTTTTAATTGAAAATTTGGAAAAGTGTCTAGCTTGAACTCAAAAATAATCGTAATTTCTTATTGTAATATTACTGAAAAGAAATCGTAAAATTGTGCAAACGTAATAGGCATAATTATGTAAATCTGCATAATCAATTCTCAGTGTGTAGATGGCTTGCTGAAGATGATGTAGGTGTGTAGATTTTTAAGGAGATTCTAGTTGTTTAAATATCCATTCGTGACGTGACTGCTATGTTCAAAGAGCGAAATCCATTTCGTTACTTACGGCTTACTTTGTTCACGTGAACATCACTTCGTCTTTTGTGTGGTACATTCTGCTTTGTTCAGGTGATTCATTCGTGACGTCTCTCTGATAAGTTCAAAGAGTTCGAGAGTTTTTATTCGTGACTTAACATTTGCTCTGTACGAGCGGCTAGCAGTTCGTCATTTGCCCTGTGCCATCTGCTTTGATCAGGTAGTTTTGTATCTTCTATGGTGCTTTGTACTCAGGAGAAAATGCTGTCGTTCCTTACGTGACATTTACTAACTTACTTGGTGGAGGAATCAAGCAGCTTGTTGGAGTCAATCGACTAACATTGCGATAAGATTATTGGTAAGAGTGTAGTGGTAAGATTATTTGCATTTCTCTATGTTTAGAAGATTGGCACGAGTTCACTTGTGACATCATTCGTATTTCCTTCCGTTCATCATTCATGATGTCATTTGCCTTTTGCTCTGTTCTGATGGTTGATATTTGCAACGCCATTACCCTTTGGTTCTGTTTAGGTGATGGGGATGTGTTCGTTTGTGACATGATTCACATTGACTCTTTCCAGGCGAATCGCATGTTTGTGACATCATTCGCTATTCGTTCCTCCACGTGGTTGGCGTTACATAATTTCTGACGTCATTGAATTTTTCTATGTTCAGGGGTTAGAGATGTATAAACTTGTGACTGCATTTCTATTTTGCTCTGATCAGGTGGCTAGTATGCGTTCATTTGGAATGTAATACGCTGGCATTCTGCTCAAGTGGTTGGAGTGAGATCACTTGTGAATTTATTGCCCATTTGCTCTGTTCATGTGGAGTGTGTGTGCACTTGTGACTTCCTGTGTGTGACCCCTCTCCTCCGTTAATGCTGTTGGCGTATTTATTTGTGACGCCATTGCCTGTTCTTCTGTTCAGGTGGCGGGCGCCACCGGGAGGAGGCGCTGCGTGAAGCTGCGTCGTTCGGCCGATTGGATGCGCTAGCAGCGCTGCTAGCGGCGGGCGTGTCAGTTGATGCTGCAGACGAAGTCGGCAAAACACCATTGATTTACGGCGCAGAGAGAAATGACGTAAATGTTGTCCGTGAGCTTTTGAAAGCAAACGCCAATGTCAGCATTTCGAATAACGTAG